ATATTTCAGTATTTAAATTTACTATTTAATTTTTTTTCTATTACTTTCTATTGCTTCAGTCATTATCAAGAACGAGATGTTTTTATTTGCAGTATTTCATTTTAGTACGGTGCTTGTATTTGAATCAATCTCAGTTTAACCTCTACACATTTTGTGCCTGTTAGGGCTAACGTCTTGGAATGAGAAATCTGTTTAGACGCGTTGAATTTCATTTGTGTTCATTACATTCATGTAGACAAGAAAAAACCCCTGGGAAAGATAAGAATATTCTTTTCTCCACAATTTATGCGTTGAATAGCAGGACTGATTGGTACCTTATAGCCTAGGTTAGCAATCAGTCTACCGCAAAATATAATTGTTAACTTATTGCAGGAATTCATCCTGCTTAGTTAGTCATGAATCGAATCTGACATAATTGCCCAAGCGTGCATCACATACGGCACTTGATCTTCGCTGACGCTTATAAAATATTTTATACACAGTTCCGTCTCTCTTGTGGTGAATTATATTTTATTTAATGTCGGATGTTTCTTTTGCATAATAAGGAGTTCTAGAATTATGAGTCTTTTCTTGTAGTTAGTGACGTATACTAATGTATAAGTATATGTTATAATTATATCATCAACCACAAAACCGCATGCAAAAAAATAAACAAAAACACCACCAGCTTTTTCAAGATACAATTTAACCAACGTATCACAGTAATGCGGAAATCGTATCCCACAAGCTCATCAAATGTTTGGGACTAACCTGATCTTATCAGAATGCGCGGAGATAAAAACAAACACTTACTAAGAACTAATAGCATCGTATTAGGAGTTAACGTTATTTAAATACGGACTAATATCATTATCTTTGTTTTTATTATCTCAGCTGTTGTGACACCCAAGCTTCGTCAATTATATCATGGATTTCGGAAATTATCTCTTTATTTGTTTTCTGTATTAATTCCTGGTATGAGGAATGATCTTTTTTTACACTAATTCAAAGTTTACTATTTTCTTCATCAGTTCGGCCTTCATCAGCTTATGACGATTAGGGTAGCCTACAGGAAATTCCTAACTGAACACTTTATTCAATATACGAGGAAACTTCTCCTTCCAGGGATCACATCTAGGGATATTTCATGTTCTTCATAGTAAAGCTTGCCATGTTTCACTACATGTCCAAGTTCATATACACACTGTCCGATCCAGAAATTGAACTCATATTTACTACATCACCATATAAACGAATCAACACTTTAATTCAACTTTCTATTATCCTGTGGGTTTTTCCTGTAAGTTAGCCGGACCAACATACACCTGTTGAGGGCCGGGGTCAACATGTAGTGATAACAATAAGAAAGATGTGGAAAACATTACGGATGCAAATATTGTAAATACATATGATGTATTTTGTTTTTATTCTATGCTAACGTTACACACCGTCCATCAATTAATAATAGGTAGTAACTTAATTTCATTTGCCTTCAAAGGTTATAAAACAGACTTTCCCTAATTATATTTTTTATTTCTTTTACTTTGATATGTGAGAGTATTTGCTTGTTTGAGTTTTGTTTTATTCGTATTGTAAATAGGCGTGATGCAAGATTTCACTTCTTACCCGACGTAGAGAGGTACTTCTGCTAGTGGTATAATTAATTAAATATTGTGCCTCTATGACTTTACATAGAAGCGAATTTTCTATACAATTAGCTTCCCTTGATTTTTTTTAAGAATTCGGTGACATGCAAGCAAGATAGAATTTCAAGAAATCAACTCTCAAGGAAAGTTTAATATGGAGGTCTTGTCACCTGAACTTGTGAATGAATTACAACAAAGAAATTAACATTAGCCTGTGAAGACCGAAATCGATTAATTATCTGATGTTCGAAATGTTTCTAAATATTGTCAGATTCTGAACGTTTCTTCACGAAAAGCTTTTTACAAAGCGAAGAAAACCGATGTTATTTCGAAGACTTCCGACTGGGTTCCTTTCAGAAATAATCGTTGCATTCTATGCTTTGGGATGAATACTTTGCATTGGGAAGTGGATCTTGGTTTAGCGTGATTCTGACAAACATATGAGTGATGGCAAACGATTGACAGCATTTCTTTTTGTCCAAACGGAGATCTAGGCTGCGTCACATTCCAACAATCACGGTCGGCCATGCTGCACGCAAAACGAGTAATGAAAACATAAAGACAGACAAATAATGTGTGTGAGAGAGAGAGGGAGAGTGATAGAGAGAGAAGAATAATGATTGTGCTTTTGTGTGTGTGTGCGTGTGTGTGTGTATGTGTCAGCTCGCGCCTGTGTGAATGGGGTTGTGTGGGATGGCGAGAAAGGATCCGATAATCGGTTGTTAAAGTCACTAGCCGTGATAAGGATTGTAGCGTGGGAAATGGCTAATAGCTCATTGCGTTCGCAATATCTTCCCTTTTCTTTGCGAAATCTTCCAGCGGGCGGCCATTATAGCGGGGAATGAAAAGAAAATGGAGTGTCCATTTCGAAAATTGACACCCTTTGCCCGACGCTTTATCACCTTTCCCCGATACGACTGCGAGCGGCGTGCGAACGGACGCGCAAGCGAGCGAAATGAATTTTGTCAGCCTCACGCACACATTTTTACATTACTTTGACTTCGTTGCTCTCATAAAGATAGATGTCCCACTGAATTTGTATGAGCTTTGTTATGGTACTGTTTGCTTCTAGACAATCGTTTTGGCGACAGCTTCCAGAATATCATTCATGGCTTTTATATGCGAGGAACAATATTGTCATCAAGCGTTGGTACACGGGCATAGAATATAATTGATTCGGGAGATGAAGTGAAAAGCCAGGCTGGGGTTTCTCCAGTGAATGAAAAAGCGACTAAGAAACAGCGGGTAAGATAAAGAGAGGAATAGTTAAGCAGATAAACTGAATAGAGATGAGAATATTTTAGCCAAGGATATAGGAAGAGGAATTTCTTTTTCAATTTATGAACCCTTAGTATTACCTGAAGACACAAAACATTGAAAATACTTTTAGCATTTTCTGGAATTAGTTATTTTGTATATAATTCTAAAAGAAAAGAGCACAAACTGAAATAAGAACGTTGTTTTTTTTTTAAATTGATTCAATCTTTCATATCAAGTTGTCAAATGTAAATAGTTTTGAATACCCATATTTTTACAATAATACATGTATTTGCCAGCGATCTTGAAGCTAAGTTACATTTAATTCATATCAACGGCCCTCCAGATACCGTCATTTCTCAATTGTGTATCTATGCTGACGTCACGATTATTTAATCCCGTCTTAATAGTAAGTCCGAGCGGTTCGATAAGATCAAATTGGCAGCTTGTGGACATCCCTCCCGACTTCATGCTTCCGAATTAACTTTGCTCTTCTAAAATGTAAATGCAAAAATCAACCGTTATCTTCTGTCGTCTCAATTAGTAGTATTCAGTGAGTTTTTTCCTTATATTCTCTTACATTCAGTAACCCCTTAATAACCGTCTTAATGGCTTTACCGCCTTTCTTTGGGTGAAATAATTGAAAATGTATAAAAACAAAAAAAAAAAAACTAATCACATTATATATTGCCAAAAACTTGATAACAATCGAACTTGAAACACATTTAGTCGATCTTAATATAGTTTTTTTCATAATATTTTAAAACAATGAAAATATTAAACAGTTATTATTTACTCTACTTACATAGAGATTATTGTCCTCACATTTGTTACTCTTATCAAAATGTTTCGGTTAGTGAGCTTAGCATAGAAAGAAATACCAAAAAAGACTAATGAAAGCTATTTCTAACAAAAGATAAACAAAAACTTCGGTGAGTGAATTTAAACATGACCATCAGTAGCACGCCTAAGCAGACAGGTTAAATTTAAGGCGCCATTTTATCCAAAAAGAATTGTCCTATAGGAACATAAACTAGTAGATTAAATAATTCGTTTCTGAAATCAGTTGAATAATAATTATGTGTTCAATCCCTTGGAGTCATTGTAAACATGGCGTGTAATAACTGAGCAATACCAAAATTAAGAACTAAATGAGATATACCTAGACATGGGCTTTGGTACGGGAATAGGTTAATAAATGGTTCAATTCAGAATTCCTTGTAGTTTACACCGATTGGCTTAGATCTGATCAAACGTTGCGATAAGAACAAAGATGAGGACAATAGTAAACTTTTAGATAGTGTAAAAAAATTATAATTCTTCATTCCAAATATTCAGACAGAAAATAGATAAATTAAAGAGCTAATTCCCTGATATGCCTGATGAATGCCCGCAATGCCAAAAAAATTAAATTTTGAGATAGCAACAACAAATATGAGGGCATTGGTCTGTATGTAAATTCCAGAAATAAAGACAAAAATTAGATTATAATAGTTCTTAATATGATATAAGCTTATGTGTTTTTATGTTCCTCACCAGATAAGTCGACTAAACTCCTAAACGATTATGAATTTTGTGGACAATAGTACGCTTGTAAATAGTGTGAATTATGATAACTCCTCGTCGCATAAATTAAGTCATAATACAGAGTTAATTTAATCTTTGAATATAAACACAACGCAAATAACTAGACAAAATCTTCAAAGAAAATATATATGAAAGTAACATAGATTGAGATTAAGCACGACGTTTAATGCCACCGAAATATCTGTGATCCCAATTTTGATATTGAAGTAATAAAAATAAATGAATATGAATATAATTTTGTTTAATTGAAGATCCGTTGTAAGTGACATGATCTGCAAATCCAATGATGAATATATGACCGATTTTTTGTTAATTATACTACAACATTGTAATATATGTAAATCATGAAAGAGAAGATGAATTTAGCCGATTATTACAAAATTCCGTGCCCGATTTCCATTGCTAATATAAACCCACCGCAACTAGATAATGATATTTATTTGGGCGCCAATTTCTAGTGTCCTTGAGATTAAAACCTTGCCTCGTTCCGTTAAGAGTCAGACGTTGGATGCCTTAAAGATGGCGGATCGGTTACGGCCATATCACTTTGAAACACAAGATCCCGTACGATCACTGAAGTTAAGCTAAATCGAGCCTGGTCAGAACTTAGATGGCGGACTGCTTGGCTATATCTGGTGGCTTAAGCTTGGATGTGCGGGTGGTGCAATGAATAACAGCTCGGAATAGAAAATCAGAGATCCCAGTTCCAATTCCAGCAGGGTTCTTTATTTTCACTGACGCGCAAATACATTTGGGAAAGGTATAAATCTACATCTCCCCACATGTATAAGCTAATTAGTACAACTTGTAGCACTAAGTCATTATTATCTCCAAATATTTCTTGCAATCTACAAAATAATTTCCTGCTTTAAATAGCCTGCAATCATTGATAAGCCATAAAAAGCAAACTAATCAATCAATAAAGATGAAAGATAAAAATTTGCATTTTCGCCATATTATCCTGTTTGAATTTCGAAAACGAGTAAGCCTCCGAAATGTGAGAAACAAACGAAAATAAAAAACAAGTTGAGATCATAGACAAAGAAAAACCATTGGAAAATTCGTAAACTTAAGGAATCAACACATATCCTAGGCCACAAAAATCTCCTGAGCCGAGCAAGCATAGAAATGAAAACAACATGGGAACCAGTAATAAGAAGTACCAGAGAAAAGCGTTAATAACAACAAAATTGCAATATGAGCTATGTTAAAAAATCCAAAACAAATGCAATGATAATAGCAAAAATTGCAATATGAGCACTGGTAAAAAACGGTTATAGGTTTATAATACCCAGAAATTCATACACAGATGTCTTCAAGGACACATGGCACAGTGGATAAAGAGTGTGAGTTCAATACCCAATTAAGGTAGTGGAGAACTTGGAGAGGGGAATTAACAGGAGATAACTGATAACTGACATCCATTAAAACATGGCACGTGGGACTATAACAGTCTAATGAGCATAAGTTAATGAGCATAATAAAGGGTACAGTTCGACATTCCAACCACCTGAAGAAGGCCGGAGCGTACAACGACCGAAGCGTTGTAAGAAATATGGTGACAAAGCTGAGGACAATTGTCCGAATAATGTAAATAGTGTCAAAAAAAACATTCTAAAGTTTTATTTAGATCGATCTTCAGCACTTCGGACGGCCTAAAAGTCTGTTGGCAGATTTCATCAGTGTGATTTTAACCTAAACCACATTCTGGAAAACTTGCGACACCGATGAAGAGATTCTACTTGCTATTGTGAAAATAAAACTGAAGATTTCGAAAGATGAGATTGCTAAGGGTTTGAAAACTGATATCCCGACTGCCACTCGCCGTTTGAAGAAACTTGCGAAGAAAAAAGCCGATTTTGTCAAATCGAAAAGGTTTCATTTTCCACCACGACAACGCAAGACCTCATGTTGCATAATAGACATTGCAGAAGCTTAAGGAGTTGAAGTAAGAAACCCTCCACCAACCCCCTTATTCCCCTGCCTTTACAGAACAAAAGGCATGACAAAATATTAACTCTGTACCCTTAGTCGGAAACAATCTGTCAAAGACGAAATTTTAATTAAAATGTCATCAACAACCTTGTAGAACGAAGTGAGAATGTTGCTAGAACAATGGAGTCTATGTACTTGAAAAGTAAATGTTTGTTTTTGACTATGTAAAGTTTAATTTTAAATTTTCTAATCGGTCACGAACTTTTGTACTGATTTAACAGTTTAATCCGATGAGATGTTTAAAATGACAATCAAATGTTTATACGCTTAGTGTGAATCACGTTTTCGTCTAGCTTTGGTTAATTTGTTTTTTGAGAAATAAACCTCATTATTATGATGCTGCAGTTTCATGGGGGAAATATGTGACCGTAAAAAAAATAAAGAAAAAAAAAAGTTTTGAAATTGTTTCGTGGCTATTGTATATTTAAATATATAGTTTCTAAATAATAAAATTAATACTAGCAATAATAAACCATTATTCAACTAAGTGTCAAAATGGTTATATTGAGCATCGTATATTTGTACACCAACTTACAGTTCTCTATCAGTATCACTAATAAGCATAACCTCGAGGCTTTTGATGCTAGACTAGTCATGATTTTTCATGGCTTCTAATGATAAATGACTGGAGGTATTAATTTGTCTATCTTTTGTGATAGTGAAATGCGATTGGTTACAAAAACATCCGGTTCAATACTACAGATTTGTTGGTCGGTTGCTTGACCAGATGCAGTTGTATATGGTCTCCATAAGCTAGTAGAACCCCGTTAAATAATTGTATATAAAATCCTATAGATTAAATTAATATGATTTAAAGTCTCATTTCTGTATAAAATGTAGGCACCAATTTGAATTTCTATATTCGCATTTACCAACCAATTGATCACATTATTTCAAACGCAGCGAAAACTTTTTAAAAAAAAATCAAACATTCTTGTTTGTTATCTGCAACAAAATTTTTCTGGAGCTCACTCTAGAAAATTTAAAAAATTATTATCCCTCCTAAATACAGATATTTAAAAATTGGGAAAAAATATTTAACAAATAGACATCTGTGTTTAGTAAGCTAATGTTTAGCTTCTTCGAGCATATCTATTTTCTATAAATATTCATGGGTTAAGTGGATATTCAATTTTTAGTTTTACGAGGGTTGTACACAGATGATTGCACAAATATTTTCGTATAATTTATTACCCAAATTTTTCGCATATTTTTCGAGGAACTTATTACAAAAGCCAAGCGATTTTAAAGCAGAGTTGAAACATTCGGAGTTTTTTAAACAAAATATTAGTAGTAGTTATGATACAGCTTTCCCGACTGATGATATGCTGACTACTAGAAAATTACAAGCATTCATCAAACAATGTAAATAAGTGAAGTTATACTTATGTAAACACATTCTGTTTCTTCTATAATACAAACGCATTTTATTCTGTGTTATGTGAATAACAAAAAAAGTATTTTGTTGGGTGTTATTTCGTAACTTTGTAATTCGTTTCTTGACAAAAAACAATCACTCATTAATAAAATTTATTTAAATTTTAGAGCCGTGTTTGAAGATTATTTATTTCTTCGCTTTTCACATGTTAGTTCCTCTACAGGTTTGTTTGTCGGTTGCTAGACCAGATTCAGTTGTAATGTCCTCTAGAAAAGACGTACTGCGCGTGTCACTTCCTAGACAGGATTGGTAGAGAAAAGATGTGAGCGAGTGTTAAAGCGTTGTTTCATTTTAATTATTTTTACTACTAATGTTAGAGATTGTGAACATCCTCCTTCTAAAAACATTTGATAAGATTGTTTTAAAGAACCTGATCGTTCTACACTTGAAGAACTATGCATTGCTTTTATCAAAACCCCTCAATATGTAATAATCATTAGTCTCTGATTTATGGACCTAGTGTACCCATATATATATATATATATATATATATATATATATATATATATATATATATATATATTATGAGAAGATATATAGAAAATAGGAAGGAACTGGTTAGGTAAATAGTCCACAGTTCGTTAGTATTTTAGTTATTATTTTAAAAATAGTGCTCGATACAAAAGTAGAGCATAATATTTAATTCCAAATTTACAAAGAGGTCTCATGTTTCAAAACAAGAGCCAAAAAAATATAATCCTTTAAATTAAATGGATTGAAGAGGTCTTGATTCCAAAAAAATTTCGAAACATGAGACCTCTTTTTGTTGAACTCCATTTGGATTATCATATTTTTAAATAAATAATTATATATATATATATAATATATAAATAAATATATATATATATATATATATATATATATATATATATAGGTGTGGTGATAGGGATTAATGGCTTATTATTTTAATGCAGATTTTTTTTCCTGTTACCCCAAATGTTATTTGAGTGGACTGGCGAGTCGAAACCTAATTTTGTCAAACAAGATTTGAACGCTGCCAAAAAGCAGACATCCATTATTATGTCTCTAGAATCCGCAGGCCGTAATAAACACTATTTAAAAAAGTGTTAAGCGTATCTCAAAAAAAAAGGTTACCTACTGAAATAACGTGTGTTATAATGGTATACACACACACGTACGCAGGAACACACACACGCACAAATGTGTATGTGTGTGTGTGTGTGCAGATATGTAGAAAAATAGGAAAGAAAACGTTAGGTAAATGATCCGCTGTTCTTTCGTATTTTTGTATTAATTTAAAAAAAACAAAAAAAAAAAAAAAAAAAACAGTGCTCCATACAGAAGTAGACCTTAAATTTTCGCTTGAGGGCTTAATAATTATATTAAGGTTTTCGGCTCTTGTTTTTGAAACATGAGAACACTTATGTAGCAAAGCAATCATATTTTTAAAAACATAATTATATTTTTTTTAAATAATTATAATATATATATATATATATATATATATATATATATATATATATATATATATATATACAATACAGGTAATAATACGTTGGTATATAGTCTAAATGTATCCTTATACTGATCTACAAAGAGAGCTCAATGTATTTATTATGACAGCGCATCTATATTACATAACAAAGAAATTCAAAATTACCTCATGAGAATAGCGTTAATTAATTAAATAGAATTAAATGTAAACTGCCTTAAAACGTTAGCATTTTTCAACTCAAATGCTGTGTAGATACAATGTCAGAAACTGAAAAATCAAACATTTAAAAAAAAGAAAATAAGAAAAGGGAGAAGCCGCCGTTGAAACAGAGATATTGAGTTAACTAAGCAACACGAGAATAGTGGATGAGGATGGCGGATATTGTCTGTCTTAAATGGTAAAGAAAAATACAACCTTCGCCTGAATTTTTAATTCTAATCAAAATGGAATCCGGTTGAGAGAGATTGAACACAGACTATGTCCCGAATTCAAACTAAGTTATATCGTTCTGATTTACTCCTGTTGTTTATAACATTGCTTGGAAGAAAAGAATATAATGGTCTCACCATACCACGGAGTTTACATAAGTGACCATTGCTTGTACAGATGTTTTTAAGCAAGGGCAAGATTCCCAGCATTTAAAAAAAAACACCCTTTTCCCCTATACCTTATCCCACGCGACATTTTCAAAAACTAAAATCCCACCTATAAGCGTTAGTTTTTCCAGACGAAGAGAAAATCCAAGATAAT